CTGTCCCTCCCTCTCCCCCTCCATCCCTCCCTCTCTCTCTCTCTGAATCTCCATTAGGACGTAGGTCCCACACCAACTGGGAGCAGGTCTGTTCCCATTATATAAACTGCTTCTCTTCATATTGCTGGTTGCATACTGAGCCTAATAAGTACTTGGAAGAGTGAATGGGTATAATGAGTTTATTTTGACAAACTGACAGGGACTATAATTGTTTTGTGATATTTTTGTCTTCACTCTATTTGGGAAGAGCAGTCTCTTTTCTGGTATCTTAACTGGTGCTAACATAACTTTTCATAGCTTTTTTTAAAGTAAGGACCTTTTTTTGATCTTAAGATTTACTCATAAAACCTCATGAAGCATAAAGCATTTGTAAATAAAGTGATGTGGTAATGAACTCAGAATCTGGCTTTACCTGCTTGGTTCTTTGACTCCCCAGTGCTATAACCTTGGGAATATTAGTTAACTTTCTAACCTCTAGTTTTCCCATTTGCATCATTAGGTTAAACATTCTATTGACCTCACTGGATTATGAGGGTTAGATGGCGCAGTGAATTTCAATGGCAGGCACATGCCTGGTGCACTTGGGGTTATTGATGGTTTGTTCAAATTTTTACAGTTCTTTCATGTTAGCAGTTTAAAATCAATGCTATTATTCGAAACCAACAAAACTTACCCAAGTTTACTAAGGGCTTGCTGTATTCCTGATGCTCTGCCGGGAAGTGGGGGGCCAAGGAAGCAAGACCTGCTTCACTTCCGTGCCTCCAGGAGCTAGCCGTGTGGAGATCGATGCCAGGGCTGTCAGAGAGCAAAGATGGACCTCAAACTCACTCGACCATCTCCTTTCTTTCCTGCCCTCAGCCAGCTCTTGTATGAGTTCTATACCTGCATCCCTCCCGTGAAGCTGCAGAAGCAGAAGGTGCAGTCCATGACTGAGATTGTCCAGAGCAACCTCTTTAAAAAGCAAGGTGGGTGTAAAGCGCCTGTGCCGAGTGGAGCCTCTGTGGGAACCTGGCAAGGAAGGGCACCTTGTCAGGCACTAGAATATCTCTTTTTTACCAGCTCCCTTGGTCCACATGAGTTGGGAAGCAGGAAGTAGCTGACAGCTTAGATACCAGAATCTAAATTGAGTTTTTAAAAGCTTAGATTGCATCGTCTGCTCTTCTGTAGAGGTTTCATGAAGTGGTGTAGCAAGTTTGGAATTCTATGCTTTAGGTCTTTTTGATATAAGTAGTTTATCCCCACTCCCACCCCCTGTATGATTTATTATTGCTGCTTTGACCTGGAGGGGAACTGGTGAAGTTCCTTTTAATGAATGAAACTTTGAGAAATGCTCAAAATTTCAAGTATAGGGCCAGGGAGATAGCTCAGCAGTCTAAGTACCTGCCTGGCAAGTGCAAGGACACAGGTTGCATAGGCGGTATCACATGCTGTGCCACCCTTGGGCACCATGCCAGCTACCAAAACCAGGTGTGATGCTGTATTCCAGCAATCCCAGCACTGGGGATGCTGAGACAGGAGGATCAGTACAAATCTGAGCTGTGTGGTGAGACCCTATACCAGATAAATCAATAAATAAAAGAATAAAAAAAATTAAATTTTTGAAATATATGTAAAAAAATTTAAAAAAATGAAATATATGTAAGAAGCAGCAAGGACTTTTTAGTTTTTAGAGATCTGTAAATTATTTTTGAATAGGTAATGAATTTACCTGGTCAAAATGAAAGTATGAAAGGGTGACACATAGAAAGGGTTCCTACATACCCTGTCCATGACCACTCTAGTCCATCCTCAGAAGTAATTAATATTGTGGGGAGATCTCACTGATGTGTAATCAAGTATTTATATGCTGTGTTCATTTCGGAAACACAAATAAGAAAATACATATGTGCTACGTATTCTCCCTTGGGCTTTTGTGCTTCCCACTTTTAAGGCAGTGTGGCATGTCACTGTTCTGGTCTTGGCATTTCTTAACATAATAACAGCTTTCAGAGATTAAGGGATAACAGGATTTGAGCAAGATGTGGTCAGAGATTCTGCTTCTTCCAAACTAACAGTCATGCAGTGCTCTGATGAGTACCCCACTATCAAGAAACTGAAAGTTTCTTATTTTTAGGTTTTTCTGTTTTTTTTTTTTTTTTTTTTTTTTTTGTATTTTGTGCAGGGTCTCACTATATAGCTTGGACTCATAGTGATCCTCATGTTTTCAGCCTCTCCAGCACCGGGATTACAGGCCTGTGCCACTATGCCTGAACTTGGTCACTGGCTCAGCATGCCACGGAGGTGGGGCCAGTGTGGCATGTGGTGCTAGAGATAAAACCCTGGGCCCTCAGCTTGCCTAAGCAAGTACTTAGTCTGCTGAGCTATCTCACTGGCCTTATTTTTAATGTTAGTGAACTCAATGTCCAAAGTTCCTCCATATATAACCAGGCATGATTTATAAGCTTACATCTATACTCCACCTCCTTTACAGTACCATTTTGCATTGCTATATCATGCATTTTGCTCCATGCAAATGCATTATGTATTCCAAAACTGCATTTCTTTACTCCTTTCAGTAAGGGTGAAAAATGGCTTTGGAGATCATCACACTTTCTATACACTAAGATCAACCCTTCCCAATGTTAAAAATTCTTCTATCCATTAATGCCAATGATAAAATGTGAATCAAACTATGCAGGAAGCTATAAGTCTTAGGATTCAGAGAATCAGCCACCACCCAACAGCGATTTATTCAGTGAGTGAAGCCTGAATATTTATGCAAATTGCCTAGTAATCAAAGAAATATTCAGGAACTACTTCACTGTAAAGATGTCTTTTTCTAATGCCTGGTGAACATGGTGCATCCAAAACTGCTGTCTAAATCCTATCCCTAGAGTTAAGGGTAGGAGAAAGACATGGAGAAGTGATGGAGACTACTACCAATGGCTCTGAGCAGGATTTTAATTCAGTGTTCACTTGCGATTCTGTCCCAGGCCTAGGCCTCTTGCTGGAGATGGGCAGTGGATGTGTACTAAGCGAACCTCTACAAATCACTGGTATTGGCTGAGGACTATAGTGGCTTGTGAGGCCATGATGCATCAGTACACAAAATAAGGCCACAGCTGAGGATGCCTGACTCCAATCTCAGTTAACTAGATAGAGGCTGTAGCTGCAGGCATCTCACTCCTGCGGGCATCTCACTCACTCCTGCATGAGTGTTAACCTGGAGATGACAGTTCTCCTCATTAGCATAATTTATTACTCAGGCATGTCTTTGTACTGACTCACAAGGTCCTGCTCAGTTTTGCAGTATTCCTCAATATTTCCTTCCTTTGTTTGAAAGCCAGATAAATACGGGCCACCCAGAGAAGTTTTTTTGTCAGCACCCAGAGAATCTTGAATTCTATTGGAGAGTTTTGGTCCTTCAGGAGCCCTGAAATCATACTGCTTATCTTTTCTATTTAACTCCTCGCCAACCACTAATTTGGGAGACTGTGGGCCTGATCGATCTGTGCTAGGGAAGAAAACCATTCTTCGTGTGATTTTTTATTTTAATATTCAAATGTATAGCTTCTTGCTAACTTAGACAGATATATGACACTGGATCAGTCCAGTGCTAATGATGTGGTTTGTTTGTGCAAGATGGTTTGTGCCAAGTGAGGGGAGACTAATCCTGGTACATCTAGTTGCATTTCTTTTAAAAATATTTTTCCTGGGCCAGCCAAAGAGCTCAGCAGATTAAAGCACCTGCAAGCAGGTACAGGGGCCGGGGATTTGATCCCTGGGCCTGCCATGCTGATCCCACCTCTGGAGCGCGCTGAGACAGCAATTGAGACTGGGTGTGGTGACGTGACCCTATAATCCTAACTCCTGGGAGGCTGTAAACAGGTGGATCACTATGAGTCCGATCTGGTAGTGAGACCCTGAACATCCTATAGACCCTTCCTTAAAATACAAAAAAAATTCCTTTTTATTAGTATATGATATATAGTAAATATGTTCATCTTGCGGAATTGGTAGACATACATATAGTTGCAATCCGTATAGTAGTATGGTTCCATATATTGAAGCTTTTTTGTTTTTAAAGTTCTGACCTCCATGGACAAATGAATCACCCTCATTCTCAAGGCTTTAAAATATACCTACCCCTTCCCACTCTGCCAGGCCTTCCCAGAATTTCAGGTGTTGTCACTACTAGGGCAAATCAAGTGCAGTCCTACGGACCTGATAAGGATACCTCTAGTGACATCCGGTGCTGCACAGTCACAGAGAGCTGGGCTACCTGGCTGTTCCCGTTATTCTGAGATGCCAGGGGCCCAGCTTAGCACTGAGGCCAGGTGGGGAGCTCACACAGTCCGGGACTGGCCATGGGGGTAGCGGGGAGTCATTTCCAGCCTTGCAGAAGTAGGAGTAATGCCTTTACTGGAGCCACATCTCCTGGGCTGCTCGGGGACCCCAAGGGCTTGCAGAATCAGAGGTCAAGCTGGGTAGCTGCTGCTTCCCAGTCCTCCTGCGTGTCTGAGTTTTAGATTTAGTAAAACTTTGTGATTAACATTAATTGACAGAAAGTGAGCCCTAGTGTTGTAGCAGTTACAAAAGAAAAGCAAAATTCTTTCCTTCAGATACATTCGGAGACTTGAATTAGGCAAAGTGCCCTTCAGGGACTCACTTTCAAGAGGATGCCAAGCATAATGAGTCTCTCCGTGCTTAGCTCACGTGTGAGAGCAGACAACTTACACGCACAGCTTAGAGGTCACATTTTGTCCACTGTTTGTTTGCTGCGTGCACTCTCTTCCTAAAATAGTCCCAGAGGGGCATGTCAGCTCTTCCTCTTTGTGAAGTCTTGGAGTTCCAAATGAATAAAATCTGAATTCATGGGCACCTCCTGGTGTCTGTTGCTCTTGGCTAAGTATCTCTTTCTATACTCTTAAATAAGGTGAGCTTGAGTCCTCTGGCCAAGTTCGGGCCATAATGAAATTCCTTCTGTTATTCTCCCTGTGAATTGTCTGGTGCCTCAGGGACATAATTTGCTTTGAGCCTGCACTCATTTAACTGCCAGATGTGGCAACTGCCTGGAGCCTTGTCCTCGGCATTAACTTGTGCTCACAACCTTGAACATTTGTATTGATATCAAGTGGTGGGGCCAGAAGGCTTTGAAGCACTGTCTCAGGTTTGGGGAAGACCACCTTCTGATCTGTTTTAGGGTGTTCTGTGGAGGAGAGGATAAATGATTTGCTGGCTAAGGGTACTGGTTCTTAGGTCACACTGGACCTCAGTTTAATTTCTGGTTCAGGCCCTTTTCAGCTGTAGGACTATGAGTGATTTTTCTTAACCTCATTGGTCCTTAGTAAGCTTGACAGAAAAATGGAACTAATAATACTAGCATCTGTCTTAGAAAGTTATTGTATGGGCCAATGAAATAGTTGAGATGTTTCAAGACTGAACACAATGTCACGTTCAGCACAATGTCCCAGGCTAAAAGGAACTGTTATCATTGATATTATAGTTATTTTTTCATCTGTTCCTTGCAGTATCCAAATATTTATCCTTTAGATTCTTCACAACAAAGAAGTCTCTTTATGTTTGGTAGCTGTACATGACCCTAAGCCAGGAGTCCATGTGTCCCTGGCAGTCACATGTTTGCCCTCAGGGTTGGAGAAAGATAGAACTTAAGGAATAAAAGGGCCTTGGTCTATTAAGTTCATCCCACTCTGGCTTTGGATTTTTTTTTTTTCCATTTTTATTCCATTTCCCTAGAGTACTTTTGCAAAGTGCCTGCATTTTGTATGCCTAGAAGGACAGGGCTAGGCCAGGGTGAAATGCTTCTGATTTGTCACTTCATAGTTTTCTTGCTCCAGGCCTTCCCATGGTTCTGTAGCTTGGGATACTTGGCAGCTGCTCTCTGCTGACGGTTGACTGCATGGGGCTCTTCTGTCCCACACAGACAATGTTTTATTAGATTCCATGGGCCTCAACTCCTACATGA